GAAGCTGACCCAACGTCCGAGGATGGCTGCAAACGTGCAAAGATTCTCTGCAGTACTTAAGGGGAAAAGCGCATTTGCTTTTCAACACGTAAAACATCGTAAAACTATACCTTAAAGACCCTTGCCTAGGACATCAAAAACTTTGCCTTTGGTACCTACTCCGCAGTCTATGCAACCTGAAGCAGACCCTGGACTTGAACTTCTTTACCAAGATTATTTCACCCGAGGGCAAAGCGAAATGCCCAGTATGTCTCCCCAAGCCAGTCCTCCTCAAAAGTTCACCGAAGATGCTTGCCAGCATTGCTCATGGAAAAGAGTAAGCAAGTGTTTCTTTTGTTGTTTATTGTATATTACTTTCTTCAAATCAGGACGCTGTACAAAAGGAAGAACATCTACAACATCTTGGATCAAACTTCGATGCTGCGACTTTTGAGTGGAGCTCTGTAAAGCCTTTTGGGCTGACCAACCACTGCTTCAAAAATCCAAAGAATGTCACTTGTGGAAAAATTCTTGAGCACGCCAAAGGAAAGGTGACGGCTTTTCGTGAGAAGATGGGTGTGCGTGTCTGCTGCTTCAAAATTGGGGTCACTTCCAACCCCATGACCCGCTTTGCAGCCTATGTTCCCAAAGCTTACACTGAAATGTGGCTAATCGGTGTGTCTGATAGCATTGATTTGATTCAAATGCTTGAAGCTGCGCTGATTTCAGAATTTGGAAAACACATCGGATGCCACAACAAGAATGGGAGTGGGGGTGAAGGTGCCTTGAACAAGGCCAACCCACCACCTCCACCATATTTTGTATATGTCACTGGTGGTCGGGCTGACCAACTCCGTGCAGTAGGCTAGGACCAAAACGCGAGCAACTGGAAAAAATGTTTGTGGCACACCTGCTTATTGTGACTGAACGCTTGTGTCTAAACTTGGGCGATCTTGGGCTTTACGCAACACATTTATGTAGTAGGTATAAAAGGATGTGATAGGATGTGCGCATATTCTACGTGTAGGTTTGTAGGTTCACTTGGGCGATTTCACTGTTTGCTTTGGCGCCGAGGTGCCCTGCAAGCATGCTGTGCAGCTGGCCCGTGCGGAAGTGCGTCAGAACATGGAGGCGTCTCCGGAACTGATTGAATTCTCAGAAATCAGCTTGGAGAATGCCGAAGTGGGTACCCACAAGTTTTTCAGAAAGTATGGATTGTGCCTTGATCTGCCAATTGAGTCTACATACCTTGGTCAGAGCGCAGACCTGAGGAACTTTCCCTATGTCAAGTTCAGTTCTTGGGTCCAGTTCTTGTTGGATTCAGGCAGGTTGACCAAACAATTGGTTGGATGCAGCTCCATCAGGAAGATGAGAGCAGTGCTCAAAGAGTTCTGGTCGCGGTACCAGGACCTTGACAACGAGCACCCCGTTTTCCGCTTAGCGCAGGAAGGACAACTTGACCTGGAATTTACCATCCCGTGTTTCTCTCATAGCGATGAAGGCAGGAGCTACAAAAAGGAAGCTCTGTGGATGATCTCAATCCACGGAGTCTTGGGGCGAGGGACTCGGAAGTATTTGGAGCTTGGTCGGCACAAAGTTCCTGTCTCCAGGAACCAGTTTGGTTTGAACTTCCTTGGCCATACCCTTTCGACCCAATTTCTTTTCTGCACGATGTTGAGGGAAACAGCAAATCAGAATCCGGGGGCCATGAACACCTTGCTAACGCTTTTTGCAGAAGACCTTGCTGACTTGGCTTGCCATGGGATTACTTCGACAGATGGGGCAACCAAAGTCTGGATCATCCACATGGCGACGAAGGGGGACTTACCAGCCCTCAACAAGCTGGGGTCTTTCACCAGGACTTTTGGACATGTTCCCCGCGCTCCTCGGAGCAGAAAGCCTTGTCAAGGAGTGTGCCACCAATGCTTAGCCGGTCAGGAAGAGAACGTAGCTCTAGGCTTGAGTGCCTACCCGTTTGAGGACCTTTCAAGCAGGCCAATTTGGGAGGGAACCATTGGGGCCACTTTACCATGGGCACGAGAGCCAGCCATCCTGAAGGATCAGCCGATCAGCCGAGCCAACCCTGCAAAGTTTTTTGCTTTTGACCTGTGGCACATCTGCCACTTGGGAGTAGCCAAGCATTACATCGCATCGTCGTTTGTGGTGCTAGTCGAATCTGGTTTGATGTGCTTCAGGGGGATGACTTCCATTGAGACCAAGTTCAACTTCATCACGCAAGAGTATCAGGATTTTTGCAAACAGTCAAAATTTGGGATGTGGGTGAGAGAAATCAATAGGGAGACATTGCAATGGCCTCAGTCTTCTACATGTCCAATTGGTCGGTGGAACAAGGGATCGGCATCTACAACGCTCATGCTTTTTCTGCACCACTTTTGTGCCCGGCATGTTGTGGGCAAAACGGAAGATGAAATGTTGTTGCTCATTGTTCCCTTGGATACTTTCAGAAGGTTTTCCAGATTTAAGTGGTCATGGTGTTTTGTGTCTATTTTTAGTCTAGTAGTCTACATGCATTTTTCTGCGTCCTTCAATCTTCCACTTAGGCAGGTGCAATTTCCTCTTTGAACAAGGCTCTCGCATTCCTCTATGGTGCTGGTGTGTTCATTCCATCCTTCGAAGCTAAGCAGGTTTCAAACTACTTGTATCATTTTTTGGGCTCATACCAGCGGCTTGCATTCTTGACTTTGCAGCAGGGCAAACACCGGTATCAGATGGTACCAAAGTTGCATTACATGGCGCATTGCGCCATCGACCTGCGCCGCCAGGCTGATCGATCTCGCTGGGCCATGTCACCATTGGCCTGCAGCGTACAGCTGCAAGAGGATTTTGTTGGACGCCCCTCGAGGGTGTCACGTAGAGTGAACATTCGCCGTGTTCACAGAAATGTGATTTGTAGGGTGATGATTTTGGGGGCAAGAGCGCTAGCACAATCAGATGCTGATGCTCGGGGTATGGATGCATACAGGGTCCTGGCCTGACACAGCCTGAGTGTAAGAAATATGTTTGTTTTTTTCCAGTTTGCAGAACTTGCAGTGTTCAATGCAGCTCAATTGTTGTTCTTTCAAGGGCCTTGGCCTTTTGCTGTGGGCATCCTGCTATGGTTTGAGAGATCTGTGAGAAGCGTCTGGAGGGGAAAATGGAGGTGGTGGGCTGAACATTTGTGGAATGATAGTTGCATGTTGTCAACTGTAAGAATTATAAAAAACATGAAAAACCCGTAAGGGCCGTATTTTTCAGAAAGGGTCGTATTTTGATGGATGCCCAAAGTTGATGGGCGTAATCCAGGTCCTTCATGCAAAAGAGAGACCAAAGCGGCTCTAGGTATATATATACAACTTTTATACTATATATGGTCTTGTGAATTGATTTGCCTCCGGACCTGAGACGGAACACATGGACACCCTGCCCGGCGCATGATTTTTTTCCCACTGGCGCGAGTGCTTCGAATCTCTCAGACAGCGGTCCAGGGTCCTCCGTGAGTGACGAAGTTGGGTCACAGCACTGGCTGCTCATAGCCAATGTGTGTGGAAAGCAGAACGCGGGCTGTAGAAGCCGTTGGCCCTAGAAAAGGGTTCACAATATAGTGCCATCGTCTTGTTCGGGGAGGTATGCAGCCATTGGAAAAGGCAATCATTCTCTTGCAGAATGCTGCAAAATTCCTGGAGGTACTAGTGGAGTACTAACTTTGGAAAGGAGCCACGCCCTGGAACCTCAATCTGAGCCGACCCCAACTATTCTGCGCTGAGACATAGATGCCTCCCAATTCAGCACTAATGTGTCACAGTTTGAATCATCCAAATAATTCGAGCCTTATGAAACATCACAGAACGGGTTTCCTCCAGCCGTGAAATGCCCAGAATCGGATCAACCGACCAGGCCTGACCCCCTTGCCCAACCAGCATCGACCTCGGAAACGGATTGCAAAACACACACTCTCAGCCCAGCCAATAGAAGTTGCAACATAGAAGGTACTTATACTTAAACAGTCATGGATCCTGGAGCCTGGCACCCACTAAAAAAGGTAGTGGATGCCTTTGTGATGACACAGTGGCTTCAGGGTACACCGATGCTAAGATCCGCTTTTGGCTTCGATATTTTGATATATATATATATACACATAAAGGCACAAAGGTATATGAGTGTGATGATGATGATGATGATGATGATGAATCATGATGATATACGTGTACCTCATTAGGAGTGGAACATGTGCCACCACTCACACACTATCTGTTTCTGGTCAACAACCTGTTCCAAGAGCGTGTTGTTTTGAGCTATCAGCTGTCCTTATGATTTCCAATTTCAGCATGAGGCTAGAAATCAATGATTTGTTTATGCACTGTTTAAAGGACGGTTTGCTTTAATGATGTTGATCTATGATGTTATGGTCCTGGACAAAAGTGGTATGATTCAGGTGTAATCGTTGTATGTGTCAATATGTTATTGGTTTTGTATGACACCTTGGAAAGCATTGTGATGAGGCCATATTTTGTGATAAATAAATAAAGCATAATGTACCGTGTTTACAGGGATTTTAGGTTTCTGACAGCTTTCCACGTGATTGGGTGCAGCGACTCCCTGTCTCAACAAAACATGCAAAGGAGTTAGAGCATAAACATAGCATACCACTTTTCCAGGACCATCCAAACACACAAATGGAACATGTAATCAATGTACCTCAGTGAAGTCAGCCTCAGTCATCAACGAATCATTGAACATCCTCTGGCAAGTGTAAGGCTATCCCTCTCCCTGCCATGGGGCACTCAACCCTTCCTCACTGGACTCCTCTGGCTGCGCGCAGCCCGCATGGCGCAGCCCGCACCAGCCGTGATCTGCGTTGGGCAACTCAGTGCCCCCACAGCAATTCGCCCTCCCGGCGTTGATCCTCACAGCCAGTCTTGTTGGCATGATGCTGATGCTGCCAACTGTCAATCAACATACAAGTTATCTGATCAAAATGAAAATATATAGACAATAAATATATATATATAATAATGTGTTATACATGCAGCATTGCAGAATGCATATGTGTCTTATACTATATTTAAAACTGCATTGCATGTGTTGCTTCTTCAGCTCAGGCCATCAGGCAGTCGAGACCGGTCGAGGCTAACCAGACCATCCAGACCTGAGCTCGTGAAACCAGGAGGTCAAATCGAGCTCCTTCAGCATCTGCTCCACCCTGTCCCACAGCATGGCCAAAGGTTCCTCGCAGAAAATCTCCACTTCGGTGGCCTCTCTGACCTTCTTCGCCTCCTCTTCCAAACGATGCAGGCCCATCGCATAGAGCTGGGCGTCCTGTCGAATGAGCCCGTGCAATCGCTTCACCACAGCTGTTGGCAGCTCGGACAAGGCATGGTGGGGTAGACCGTGCAGCACCGGCCGAGACTCTCTGTCTGGGAGTGCCCCAGCGCCACCGCAGCTGCAGCTGGAAGGCACTGTGCCGTGCCTTTGGAAGTATAGCACGCACAGCGTCTCATTGTAGAACTCCACCACGCCTGTCACCGTGTGCTTCAGGTGAGCCACAGCGGGCGCCAATTTGGGTTCTAAGGAGCTGGACAATGCGAAGTGGTCCCAAAATTCCGAAAGGTATCTGGTCTGCATATTCCAAGGGTTGTAACAATCATAGGCCGCTTTCTGCATCCTTTGGCACTCTGCCTTGAGCTCGGCGTGCTGGCCCATCTGCAGCACCTCTCTACACACGGGATAGGACACTAACGACGCTGTGGACTGCATCTTTAGGAAATGATCCACCCATTCTTCGAAGCCACCGTAGGTGCCGTGGCCGGCCACTCCGTGCGTGGGTACCAAAGGAGACGGTTTCCACGCTTGATCATACTTGCACTCCATGAATTGAGATAAGACGTGATCCAAGGGAAACCGAAGCATCGCCATGTCCACCTGATCTTCTGCATGAACCGTTCGGACCCAGGAGCTCTCGAAGTTGAGTTTAAACTCTGCCGGTGCCACCACGGCCTTGCCATCCCCACGGAGGGAAGATCCTGCAGTCTTCGGAATGTGGATGAGAACGTAGGACTTGGTGGCCTTGGGATTCTGGAAGGGCTCCATGCCAATCAAGTCGACATTCCTTCGCTGCAGCAGCTGCAGCTCATCATGCTCGCGCGCATTGACCACCTCAGCCAAAAAGGTGTGAAAAAGGAGGAACGCGAGAATCATCTATGACATGCCAAGCGAACAGATTCGGTGAGCTAGCGATTTGAACCAAATGACTTGAGCAAAGAGGGCTCCGGATGTGGAGGGAGCCAAAGTGACATCTGGGGCTTTGGAGTTCGGCGATCGTCGAATCCTACTGTATATCAGGCTTTGCTGAGCTCCTCCTCCTGCTTCACCTGGAGACCCCACTTCTGTGGGAGGTTGCCTCTCTCTCACCTTGCCACCCCAGGCCGGACGGGTCAGTCCTTCTGCCAGGCCTGGCGGAATATGGCAGAATGGCGGCGATCTCTGTGTCCAATGACTAAGCCCCATCTTGTCCAATGACCAACTGCCAAACGTGGCAAAGCGCTCAGCTACCCCACCTATGTCCATCCTAGTGTCTCCCGATCTTTCCAGAAAGAACATTTTACGACATCATCAGATCTTCCTCGGGACGGGCGGTGTAAAACTGGCCCCAGCGACACTCTCCATGAGGAGGAGGCCCTGCACTAAGGGCTCGGGGTCGGCTGCAGACCTCTGCGCAAAGTGGCGTGGAGGACATCCTAGGGGCTTACCATCTCCCTGGCCCTCCTTCCGACCACGGAAGTGGCACCTAGAGGCCACTGAAAGCCATTTTCCTCTCTCACATTGGATTTCTAGGCCATTAGACTTCTCTGCCCTAGCAATCACAAGAGATTGTCAAGGTTGAATACATGCAGTCCGGTTTTTGTCCGTCATGTGATGAACAGTTACAAAATGTTCCAGTGTTGAGACTTGGACGCTCCAAGCCTTCGAACTCGGTGAGTTCTTCTTTGCCATCCTCTGCCAGGCTTTTCTTTTAATATGACATCATGGAATTAATATGAATTAATAGTCATCACTTGAGGCTTGTAGGTCCCGATGAATCCGACCGGTGGATCCAATTGCTACATCACCCGCTTTATACTGCTACATGCTGAACTACCGGGGGTACGAAGTCTCAGGACCCCATTGGCCCATTGGCTGCTCAACAACTTGCTGACACCTTCATGTCCATGTCCGTAAGCTTTAAGCTGGAGACTCGTTGACAACTTCGTGTGTTGCAACGAGTCAAAACAAGCAAGTAAAAGCAAGTTGCATGTTAATCCACTCACCTGTTTGATCCATTATACAAAAATATATAGACTAGAAGCAAGAAGCTACTAGGGCTCCTGGCCTTACTACTAGGAGCAAGGACGCTACTAGGGGCTCCTGTCATTTGGAAGCTCCACATGAACCCGAGGTCATCGAATCGAGGTCCCGGGCCGTTCCTGCTGTCGTGCTAGAGAGGCCATCAGCTCTGCACGACCCGTGCGCCATGAGGACCAGACCTGATCACTGCAGGATCGAATGGGCCTAGCTGCCAGGGGCGGTTTCCAAACGCTTGTCCTTTTTGGGGGTGAGATCTTGATGTGTGTTTGCACCAGCCTTTTGTACCGGAAATTGAAATTATTTGAGGAAACCAAGCTCGAACATGCAGCAAACCCCTCACAAAAACCCAAGGTTTACCGTTTATGCAGGGGCTTCAGCAAGGCAGTCCAATCATTTTGGAACACGTGCAGTAGTGCCATTCTCCGCTGGATTGCGACTGGCAAGTGTCTGAGCCTCTCACGATGGAATAGATCCCATTGGGGTTCAGTCCTTGGGACAGCGGGGGGCGCAGTCCGCCGTGAAAAGAATCTACACCACCCTGACTCTCCAAGAGGTTAGGACGGTTAGGAATGTATATAGCTGATGTTAGCTGCATCAGGTTGCACAAGTACGGTAGGGCAAAAAAAACAAAATGGATGTCAGCCGCATGAACCTGACAGCCTCATCTCAGGTGCACACCCTCGATACTCTCCACCACTCCAGCAGTACCCAGCACACGTGCCAAGGAAGCTTCACTGATGGCCTCCATGAGCCTGCCCACGCAGGAAGCCGCTGGACGCATGACGTTCGACATGAAAATTTGACAAAGCTGCCGCCTGCTGGTGCAAAGATTTGGTGTCTCAGTTCCGGCGAGAGCATGGTGCTTGTTACATATGTGACCCAGCAATGGGTGTTCTTGGTTAAAGGATGTTAAAGCGGAAGACCACTGTGCATTCTTGAGCCTAACCCAAAAACGTCCTAAAACTATTGAGGAGCATTACCCGTGTCACTGGGTTTCACTGGTGAATATCCGTGCCTTTGATCGCGCACAGCGATGCGGGTGAATGCCCAGGCCGTGTTGGAAATCTCAAGCTCTCCAAACTCAGACCTTGATTCTTTATCTTTGGACATCTCAGCATCAAGAGTCTCTGCAACAGTGAAACGCATGTGATCTATATATATATACTGTATATGCATTGTTGCGCATGTGATATACATCACTCCGAGACCTCCACATGCGACGAATCGCCTGCATCCCAATGACTCCTGGCGGGCCAATCCCTTTTTTTTGCTGGTTCCTAGCAGGCCTCAGGATCCCAAACATCAATTGCCTGTGATCACTGATTGGTAGAGCGCAGGGGAAAGGATGTCGTTTCTTGTTTCTGCTCTGAGCTTTTGGCAGGGAACAGTTGAGCCGAGCAAAGACTTCACCAACAGAATGATCAACGCATTTGTCCAAATCAACAGGGACGTTTGTCCGACAAAAGCTACCATGGCGTAGTAGTCCATGGCTACAAGAGCCCACTCCGTCCATGGTAGTCAGTCATTTCATGACGGTTGTGAATGTCATGTGACTCTTGCAAACCTTTAAAACACTAATTGAACAGCGGTTCGTCATGCGGGTCCCCATGGAAAGTCTGTGTTGCTGTGGTGAACCAATCTTCAAACATGCCGTTTGCAAGACATGAAGCATGCGAAGCACTATGCGATGTATGAAAAATCCTTCTTTCCTTGGACCTGCTTCCCACGCTCCCCACGCGGCCGGGCTTCAGAGCTCCTAAGAGCGGTGTCTGCCGCAAGTTCAGTGTGGCGAAGCTGAGCGTGGCGGCAGTGCTTACGTGGTCTGTGTTGGGGACGTGCCGCCCATTCAACATCTTGGACTACAGTATCGTCGCCACTAGTGCTAACACTACAGTTCACTATTGTAAATGGGCATGCTTCTTTCTTGAGGTGTGATGGTCCAAGCCCCTGCCCTTACCTCAATTCCTTCAATCGCCTTGGCCCCCTTGTTGTGGAGGTTCTGCTCTCCTCTCCATCTAGTCCATAGTTGTTAAAGCAGGTCATGTTCTAGTGGAGCTTGGGGTGCTTCATGGTGCTTGTGCTTGGTCGACTGACTGAAACCTTATGTCAGGGAAACGGTGAGCCGCTTAGCACAAGCCAGTAATCCTGGAGGGATCCTCATATTCAGGACCAATGTGGTGCCAATACAAGTTGGGAACTCCCAGGAAACACCTCCCAAGTTAAGTTGAGAATCTATATACCTCTGAATCTATCTTCTTGGGAGCAATGCACATGGCTGACTTGGTCTGCACCCTCTCCACCTGGCTCGGAAAAACCCACTGAATCGCACCTCCAAGCCATGACGGACAGTTCCTGCCTCACAGCGGGAGGGCAAAGGCACATCGTGGCGAACATCGTGTCACACAGAATCCACGACATCTCGCAACATCCGGGCCACATGCGGAAACATCATTGCGAACTTGTGGGGTTGGGGCAACCAGACAGTGGCAATGCCCTGCACGAGACGTCAGTGGCTGGAATGACCCGCGGCCCGATACTCCCTCCCTGGAGGCGGTTTGGTGAGTTTTGACATACAGCAAGAACCGTGAGGAAGTTAAAAGAACATTCGGCTCTTGGTGGATTGCAGTATGAATTCATATGAATTCACTCGCAACCTTCAAAAGTGAGCCCTCTTTTTTCGCCGCTGGTTGCTGGGCCTGATCGCTCTAAGGCCCAAGCTTGTTCAACTCTGCTGCGTGTTCCATGGCCTGGCCGAAGTGGCCAAGCTCCCGAAACGCCGGGTCGGAGCTCAACTGAGCTGCAACGACCGCCGTGGCTTTGTGGTTTGCAGGACTGGGCATGCTAACACGGCGCCAGGAGAGCAGCAAAGAACAAATGGCAAAAGAGTCGTGGTGGCTCATTTTATGAATTGTCTTGAATTCCCCATTTTTGACATTTTTCCGACACGGTGGCTATTGATGAACAATCATGCATGGTTGTTGGTGAATGGGCTGAACATGATGTTGTTCGAGTCGCCGCAAAGTCTCGACAACCCCTCCGGTGTCCTTTGCGACCTTCAACTACTGAATTTTTGGCTGCATTCAATTTGACGCTTCTCCAGCTACAACGTGCGATGTTCTTTTCGCAGCTTGCACCATGAGAGCTTTCAAAACGGCTCTGACCCTCAGCCGTGCACCAAACGGAAGGGCGAGTTTTGCGTGGCCGTTCCTATGGGAAAAGACATGTTGTGCCAAAAAGGGCGAAACGATGTTAAACAAATCTAGGCGGAAGTGCAGAGCGTCTCCACACATAGAAAACGGCCCCCGCCAGGGTCTCCGACATCCTTATAGAATCCACAAACTAAATAGTGTCCGTAGAGCAAGTTGCTGATGCAAATGATGCACTTCTGCATCAACAACCCACCAAAAACAAAAACTCCTTGGCTTTCGTATTTTAGCACCAGCAGGCTAATGTGGTCTACATCCACTCTACCCGACCTGCCCCCAAACAAACCCCTTTAAAGACTCAGCTCGTTCGTTCGCAAACAATAACTACCTTCAGCTATCGGCTGGCTTTCGTTCAAAAGCTCGCAGTGCGTGCTCGCAGAAACATCGTCAAGTTTCTTGGACAGGCTGCACCTCAAAGATATATGAATGGATATTACAAATTGCTCAGTCCTTTCCATCCTGCTTAGCAACGCATACAACTACGGCTTCAGACCAGGCCGGGCAGCCACGTCGTTCGAACGCCCCAAGGGAGGAGCCGAGAACGAAAGCTCCTCTGCTTACAACAAAAGGACCGGCAAAAAGGGTCAATAGAATCGAAGCTGCTAAACATCTATTGCACAATGTTGCATTAGAATTATATTAGATCCTTATGTGTACCCGAAACCTGTCAGCTGCCCTGGGCAAAAGCATCCTTCAGCCAAATGAACTCGAAGGGGAC